CATCTGACTGAAGGCCCTCATGGTTCACAACCCTGGCTGCATTCTAGAATCATCCAGGGAGCTGTAAAAAGCTCCCCATACTTGGACTACACTCCCTGAGTTTGCTACCTCACTGGGCCAGGGTGAACTCTTGAGTGTGGACAATTTTCTTTTTCCCTGGAGAGAGAGAGAGAGAGAGAGAGCGCAGGGGGGGGGGTGGGGGGGGGGGAGCAGAGGGAGAGAAAGAATTGCAAGCAGGCTCCAAGCCTGACCCAGGCTCCATCTCACAGCCCTGAGATCATGACCTGAGCCGAAATCAAGAGTCAGACACTTAACCAACTGAGCCATCCAGGCGCCCCACTGAGTGTGGACGATTTTACAAAGCCCCTCATGGATTGTTATAGAGCCAGGACTGAGAACCATGAGCTTGAGCTTTCCACCTAGGACTGAAGCAGTGAAAATGAAATTTCATTTTAGCAATGAAAGAAAGAGAAAGCTTATAAGAAAATGACATAATTCAGAAGAAAGAGCTATGGGGATGGTGGATCCTCTCCCTGGATGTCCTCCCTCCTGGGAACAAAATTCACAACTGCCGCTCCCTCACAGGCCTGAAGGAGAGGAAGCTTGGCGGTGGGGAGGTGCTGGGCAGAGTGCCTGAGGGTGACCCTACCCCCCTTAAGACATGGATTTACCTTGGGGCAGATGGGTGGCTTAGTGAGTTGGGCTTTTGACTTTTGGCCTCAGGGGTCATGACCTCAAGGTTGTGGGATTGAGCCCCACATGGGGCTTTGCTTAGAGTCTGCTTGTTCCTCTCCCTCTCCTTCTGTCACCCTACCCCCCAAATAAATGAAATCTTTTTTTTTTTAAACAAGGAGAAAGAGATGGATTCACCTTCCTACTGTTCCAAAGATGCTGGAGCACTACTCCAGAGACAACAGCTAAAATTTGGATAGCATTTCTCAATTTCACAGGCATTAGTCTTTGATGCACCAAACAAACCTATAAAAGGCAGGATTATCCCCACCCTCACCCCATTTTGCAAATGAGGAAATTACCATCCAGACAAGTTAACTGACTTGCCGAAAAGATTACAGCCACTGAATGGTAGAGCTGGGATTTCCGTTCTAATATTTACTGAGCATTTACTATATGCAAGGACTAAGGCAAGTATAAATCATATAATTATGGAATTATATATTCCCTAATTACTTTTCTTTAAGATTTTATGTATTTGAGAGAGAGAGAGAGAGAGAGCATGAGTGAGGGGGAGGGGCAGAGGAAGAGGGAGAAGCAGACACCCCGCTGAGCACGATGAGAGACTGACCTGAGCCCAAGGCAGACACTGAACCGACTAAGTCACGCAGGCGCCCCTAATTACTTCTTCTTTGACACCATCTTCTGCTATTTGTTGTTAGCATTTCTGCGGCAAAATCTTATTTACCCACTAATACCCACTCTTCCTTCCTGTTTGGCTTGGGTCCGCTCCATGCCACGTGCCAGGCTTTCTTTCCCAACGTCCCTTGCAGCCAGGAGTGGTCACGTGACGCCAGCATGGCCAATGAGATGGAAGGAGCCGCGGGCTGCCTTCCCTAATCCGTTCTCTCTTCTCCTGGCCTTACACAATGTCTGGAGCTGTAGCAACAACTGTGGGATCTCGAGATGACAAGTAGGGGAGGATAAAAGTGAAAATACCCAGAATGGCAGAGCATAGAGATGCCTGGGTCCCTGAATCATCCCCGAGCTGCTGGCTGCCCACCTCCAGGCTCGGGCGGATGCAGAAGAATAAGCCGCTATTTGTTTAAGTCACTATAGGTTAGGTTTTTATAAATCACGGCCAAATGCACTCCTAACGGATACAGTTTCCTACATGCCCGTCATCGTTCTTGTTCTTTTCCTTTACAATTGAACACACCGGCCAGCAGCTCAGCGGCAAGCAGCCGGCATCCGACCGCCGCTGAAGCTTGGCCACTCTGGGCACATCGGTTCGCTGTCTTCGTTGTATTACCTTTGAGACCTGGGGCTTGTCACCTGAATCAGCACTTTTGTTTTCCCAGCCTCTGTTTGGTTTTAGAAGATGAAGGCAAGTGCCGGAACACGGTCAAACGATGGAATACACGCATGGCACAAAGATGGTGGCATTGGCCCAACTCAACCACCGAATGGCAGGCTGACACCCCGCTGCGGCAGCTGGTGAGGGAAATCTGGATTCCTGCAGGCAAGGTGGTTTGGGGCACCAGTCAAGCACTCGTATCGAAGTCTAGTCGCTTGAAAGTCAAATGTACAAAAGTCAAGGATGGCCTGTGTGTACTCCTGCGGCAGCCCATGGATGCCAGATTGGTTTTTTAAGCCTCCAAATCAGTTAGCTATGGCTGAGCCACCAACTACCACTAACTCAGTGGCTTAAAACAATGTCTATTATGTCTCGGAGGCTATGGACCTGCGGAGTGCTTCTGCTAATCTGGGCCAAGTGTGAATGGTCTCGGCTGGGCTCGTGCAAGTGTTTCAGTCCGTTTGTTGTCAGATCCGTGTGGGATAGCTTCATTTGCGTGTCTTGCAGGTGGCTGGCTGTCCGCTCTGGGGACAAGATTGATGGGGCCACACGGTCCCTCATCCTCCAGCAGGCTAGTTAGTCACACGGTGGCAGAAGGCTTGCAAGAGAACAATCAGAGGCAGACAAGGCCTCTTGAGCCCCAGGCCAGGAACTCGGGCAACATCCCTTCTGCCACATTCTACTGAGTAAAGAAAGTCACAGTCATTTCAGTTTCAGGGGTAGGCAAGACCCCAAAGGCATCGGTGTAGGAAGAGAAGGAGCACAGGGGCCATTTTTGTCATCAGTCCACCATTGTACCCGGAGTGAGAGCTTTTCCTTGAACGGATCACCATGGACATCAAGGAAAGAGAGAACAAAATCGGAGTAGCTAGAGAGATGGTTGTGTGGACAAAAGGGAAACCATCCTGTAGTGGAGACAGAATGAGCAGCACAGGAAACAGAGGAAGAGGTTGGAGAAACGGACTAAATCAAACTTCCATTCCAATAATTACTTCTACACTGCCCGCCCGTTTCTGGTGCCGTTTCTAGTGCCTACTACATGAAACGCGATCCCACTAAATCTTCTCTCACTCCTGTGAGGGAGGTTCTACTATGAATCCCATCTTATAGATGAGGGAATCAAGGTTCCGAGAGGATTAGGTAATTTTTTTTTTTTTTTTTGACAGAGAGAGACACAGTGAGAGAGGGAACACATGTAGGGGGAGTGGGAGAGGGAGAAGCAGGCTCCCCGCGGAGCAGGGAGCCCGACACAGGGCTCGATCCCAGGACCCTGGGATCGTGACCTGAGCCGAAGGCGGACGCTTAACGACTGAGCCACCCAGGCGCCCCGAGGATTAGGTAATTTGCAGAGAGACGCGCAGATGAGAGATGTGGGACACAAGACTTGAAGACAAATCTTTTGGTGCCAAAGCATTGGCCCTAGCCAGGACTCTGTTCTGTCTTTAGGGCAACTTGTTTCTCTGTTCCCTGCTCAGGCCCCCTGTCCAGGCCTGGACTGCTGCAGCACCTGAAGACTTCCCAGTCTGATTACTTCCAGCCGATTTTTTTTTCTATAAAGGGCCAGAGAGTAAATATTTGCAGGATTGTGTTGCAGTTATTCAGCTCTGCCAGTGTAGGCTGACTTGAGCCAGGGATGGTATATAAAGGAATGGGCATAACTGTAAACATTTTATTTACAAAAACAAATGCATTGCCAACCCTTGCTTAATCCCTTCTCCACCTTGCAGCCAGAGTGAGCCAAACTCAAAGGCAACCCTGCCATTCCTTGCCTAAAGTGGTTCACCAGTATCTCCGGGGATCAGTCCAAACCTTTTTCATGGTGTCCAGCCCTGTGATCGAAATGTGGCCCCTGGGGCCACTGGCATCACCATCACGTGATGGAGCTTGTTAGGAAAGCAGAATCTCAGGTCCCCAGCTCAGACCCGCTGGATCAGAATTTGCACTCTAACCAGACTCCCAGGTGGTTTGTTCATTCCGGTTTGAGAAGCTCTGGCTTCAAGACCCCTGTATCCTCCCTCTCCCACCTCATCCTTTGCCGCTGGAGCCTCCTCCCTCCTGCCCACCCCCACTTTCCGGCCAAACTGAAATGCTCCATTCATCTCTGTCCTTGATACATTGCTCTCCTGCCCAACTCCCTCCACTTAGCGAATTCCTACCAACCGCTAGATCTGAACGTAGATGTCACTTCTTCCGAGCAGCCTTCCCTGAAATTCCTGAACCGCATAAGGTGCCCCTTTTCTGTGTTTCCTTAGCCCTTCCTCACCACCACCCACCACACTGCATGGAAACCACAGAACTGCCTACCTCTCACAATGAGTTTGCGAGCTCCTGACAGAGAGACACGTCCGTCTGGGTCACTGCATGCGTCCTCAACACTGGGGACAGTAACCACTCAACAGCTACTTGTGGAAAACCGAATAAAACATACCCACCACCTCTCCCCGGGCCAAGGATCCTACACAACACTGTTTCATCAGCCTGTGGCTGCAGGTTCTCTCAACTTTCACCTGGCTCCAAGACTTTGAGGAGTCCTGCATCATCTCCAAGATTCCATCTTTCACTAAGCCCCGTGGTTTTTCACTATTAGCAAATGTTTACCATTTAGAGAGGGCCCGAGGGCCTAAGAGATTTCTGAGCAAAATTCTTGAGCAACAAATTAGCTATAGGCCAAGACTTGAATTGTGTTATGGAGTGTGTGTGGGAGCCAGGCAGAAGGTTCTAGGCAAGGAAAAAGCCTTGAAGGCAGGACCCCAGGCTGCAAACCTATAGAAGTGTGAACTAACATCCTTGCCTGCCTGTGTACAGCGCCAACTGTATACAATTATTCTAGCGTTGCTGGGTGGGAAAAGACTCCCAGACACCCAGATGCTGAAAGCGAGTGAGCTTGTATAAGGAATCATAAGCCAGGGCATCCACAAACTGCCCTTCAGGAAGAGGAGAGCCCTCCCCAAATCTGACATTCAGTCCAGAGTTTTCTACAAGGTCCTTTATTAACAAAGCAAAGTATAAAAGAACAGTCCCCCCCAAAAAACCCAAAAGATTAAAAGTGCAAATTTACTCCAACCTGAAATAGAAAACAAATGGCTGGTCCCAACCATTTGGGCCATGGAAATGTGGTGTGATCTAAAACTTTTAATCACACACCTGTAGCAGCGGGATCATTTTGATTAACCCTTTGGTCTCTGTTATTGGAACAAACCGCATACTATGACTGCAGCCAGCAGACTGCATCAGAGTACACAGCTGGGGGTCAGAATACACATTTAAAATAACAATAAAATAAGAGGAATGTTTTAAAGTCAAGTCACTGAATCAAGGCACAATTTTTTTTTAAAGCAAAAGGTGCTAAAAATATTCCTGAATATCTGATACTTCAAAAACCAGATTACATATCATTTTTTAGGCTATTCTCTCTGTATAGATGATTGCATATTATCTTCACCCTCTCCCAACTTACTTGCTAAATTCCCATCAAACCATGTGCTATGTAGGTATAAAAGAAAATAAACAGTAGTGTCTAAGTAACAGACATGTGATTTAAAAAAAAAAATTAACAAACACCAAGATGATAACACTGAACTTTTTTCCCCTCTCAAGGGTCACTGGAAATGTTAATGAGGTTCATTTCCCCCACTACTGGGGAAGGCGGTAACAGCCGAGGATGTCAGTTTTGGTGGAAGCCAACAGTGTTCTCGGTGGTAGGCATGGTAACAAGCCTAAGAAGCTTGGTCTGAAGACCCAGCACCGGTTTTCTGGGGTCCAAGGCCACCCACCATCACTGCTAAGCCACAGTCTGGGAGACTACTTAAAAAAAATGACTAATTTAAAAATAAGAACAAAATACAAATCAAAAAGAAACAAGTTATTCTGCAATCCTTCCTGATTACTCATCTGTGAACTCCGTGACAGAGCCGAGGAGTTTAGCCCCGACTCACCAGGAAGGAAATGCCAAGAACTGGCCCCCAGTGGTTTGTTTGTAGGATGTGTAGCTGGACAAGAACAGCTCCGGGATCAAGGGCCCTTCTGGGAACTATGAGTTAAGTGTTATCTGTAGCCCTGTTAATTTTTTTTTTTTTTGGTTTGTTTCTATAATAAAGCTTAGCTCTGAGAGATAAGGACTTGAAATATCACACCCCCAACTATGTATAATGACCTCTCCAGAACAATAAATATAACCTTATACATACTTGGAGGGTTAAATATGTTCGGCAGGGGTCGCAAACTGGTGGCCCCAGGCTCAAGCAAATGTTCTGTTTGGCCCACTTGATGTGTGGGACAATTTAAAATGATTTTGTTTAAAAATGAGAAAGTTTCACTTTAAAAAAAAACGAATCCTGATTTCCGGCCCCTCCCCACCTTTTTCCCAGCACAGAGCTGACCAATGGCTGCCCTGTTTAAGAGGAGCATAGTCCCCACCACCCACCCACCCCGGCCCGGACTGATCTCCCTGCCTTACTTCTGCAGGCTGCTGAGTTTGCGACCCCTGGCTTGAAATAGCACATACCTAAAAATGTGTTTCCTACCCAAACCTCTTGCACCCTCATGGGATTCTCCCCCCACCCCCGGGGTTCCCTTCCCGCCATCGCTTCCTTCGCTTCCCTCTTAAGGCCTCTCTCCTGAATTCTTCAGATTTCTCTTGGTTCCCCTGCTCCCGGTCTCCCTTCTAACAGCTTCTTCCATTTCCTCTTGCAAAAAAACATCTCCTTTTCTCAGCCCACGACGAGACTTGCAGGATGGCTCCCAAGACTGGTCAGTGGGAGTTACTGAAGGGTGTCTTCAGGCAAAATGGCTGAGTCATCCTCCCGAAAACTTTTCTTCTGGCACTGGCTGGACAGTTAATCTTTTTTTTTTTTTTTTTTTTTAACCACGAGCAATTTGGAGGCTTGTATAAGAATCTTTGCATACATCAATCTCTAGTACCAAGTATACACCAAAAATGTGTACATTTCAGATCAAGGAGGTGATGGAGCCCTGATAAAAGAAAGAATTGAGCTTAATTTAAGTGCCTTGGGCAACCATCACACCTGGCTAATACGCCATATTATTTCATTTGTACACAGTACATGTTTGGGATCACTACACATTGATCAAAATTGATCGAAATCTCTACGTTTTGGTTGCCATGTACAGAGAACAATCGCTCAGCATGGCACTTAAATAAAACATTAATACTTTAACAATTCACAAACAATGCCCCATTAATTAAAAAATAATAATAAAATTTAAAAATCTTGAGGATGGATGAGGCTTTGGGTAATTAACGTGAAAAAAATAACAAAAACACTACAAGAACAAAATGTTACCAGATTTAAACTTCAAAAGACTAGCAAGATAAAAAAAGGAACCTATCAACTCAACTAGAGACATTGGAAAGTTCAGCTTTTAAAGCTTTATAATCCTTCCAATAGCCTTGCTGTTCCCCATTTCAGTAGACTTAACGACTACAGGGGGAATTGGGGCTGATATGGAAAATTTATATATATATATATATATATATATATAAAGATCTACCTACTCTTTGCATCTGTTTTAAAAAGTAATTTTAAGGAACACTCTGCAGTTTATATCTTTGCAGGAAGTTGGTAGACTGATCCCTTTACTAAACTCAGTACCTTATGACCTAACACTGACCTTAAAAACTGGGAATGACCTTTGTGATATCAAGAGGAACTGTCCCCACAACAACCTCAAAGAGAAGGCATGACATTTGCAACTGTTTCTCTTACAGTCCAAGGTTGCAAAGGATCTAAGAAGTCTCTGCAGCTCCCATGAGGATCCCCTGCAAATCATTTATTCACAATGATTTCCTGCAGTGGCCAAGTAGGTCCCCTAAAGAAAGTTTAAAGAATTCCCTCAGAATAACTCAGAAGCTAAACAATGGCCCTATTCAGGTGGCTATTTCTGTCTTCCAAGTTTTACCTTTAAAAGTCTAAGGAAATACATGTCTTTGTCAAAAAAATTAAAAGTCCCAAGGTCTAACACTGGGTGGAACTGACTGCATTTTCTATTAGCCAAGCAGATGATGGAGTATTCTGAACCTAAACCTAAAGTGAGTTGGGGATATTTATGTCCAAAGAGAAAAAACAGCAGACTACTGGCCAAGAGCTGTCACCCGCACCTCGCTCTCCTCGGCTGACTGCTGATCCGTGGTCAGGGAGCACAGAGCCCAAGTTACTGAATTCTATAGGAAATGCTTTGCAAGACCTGGGCCGAATCAGCCGCTCCTCCAAGTTGGCCTTAGGACCACTTAAAGGCCACCAGGGGGATGGGAGGGAAACGTGGTGACCACTAACCATCACTGAGCACTGACTCAGAAAGCTAACTACATGCTAGGAACTATGGCAGGCGTTTGCTCATTATCTCATGAAACTCAGAAAGACATTTCCATGCAGAAGAGTTTGTTCAAAAGGCTTCAAACAACAACAACAACAAATGTTTCCGTCTCCAGCCAGCAGCAAGCTCTGGTGAGTCACCTGGATAGGCAAATGTATCTTTCTCAAAACCCAACCTGTTTTCCCTGCTCACCAGTATGGTCCTAAACACATATTCTTTGCTACTTGGCCCTTCTGGCTCACGGTGGGCAATGCGTGTTGACTGGTACATATCCTAGGGTGTGCCTGCAGGGATGTTAAGCAAGCCTGCTTTTTACGACTGCACATTTCTTAACAATAAAGTTACTGGGTGTTATGCACAAACAATGAATCATGGAACACTACATCAAAAACTAATGATGTAATGTATGGTGATTAATATAACAATAAAAAATTATTAAAAAAATAATAAAGGTAACTGGCCTCCCTTTTGGATGCAACACTTGGCAGTGGCAATTACCACAAAATGAAAGGACTGATCAAAATAAAGTGCTATTTGCTCTGGAAGTTTCTCTAACCAACTCTTGACTGCCTCTCAACACGTGACTTAATTCTTTGCAGTCCTGTCAAACACCTGTGATTGCACCGCTTAAAAAAACACATTAATATTAATTTGAATAGTGAAAACTGTGTTCCTCAGAACATTAGCCCCTAGACTAGAACTTCAATTCCAGTTGTAGATAAAGATTCCGATTTTTTAAAAGACAACCAGGAACCCAGGATGGGGCAAGTAGTTACAGGGGGGAAAAATAGCTTCTTTAAATTTGGGGGCCAGAGATCTGTCTCAAAAACTGACAGAGGGAACTTTTCCTGCAGCTAGTTCTTGCTTCCTTCATTGGGCTTCCCTAAAAGCTGGATCCTTCTACAGAATCATTCCACACAAACCAACATTTGAACCAACTCTTAGTGGCTGGTGTTGAAGGTCTTTTTCTGTAGCTTGCTCAGGATACGCTGGTGGGTGTGAAGAAGATGCCATAACTATACTGGATTGTGGAGCCAGGGGGGACATATAAGCCACCAAATGTCACCCGCCGAATTTTCCATCACCTTTGGCACCTCATTTCCTTGCATTAAACTGGCTTCGTTGCCATCCCCACCCCATCTGGTGGGAGAGGCTTTAGGAGCATTAGGCCGCGTGGGGGCACTGTCAAGTTTTATGGCTGATCTTCAGGGAACCCCTGCGTGCGCTGACTCCGGGGTGGGGGGCACCTGGCAAGGTAGCGAGGACCCCCGTAGCCCCGGAGAAGTTGGGGCAGCCTTCGCCAGGTGGACAGCAACCGCGCCGCTGCAAGTTCCCGGGCGTGCCTGTCGAACGCAGCCAGGAGGTCAACGGGGGCAGCTTCACGCAGTACCTTGGGCAGCGGGCCCACCTCGGCAGCCGCCCCACCAGGGCCCAGGACGCAGTGGAAGAGCGTATGGCGTCTCAGCAGGCAGTCCCTAAGGAACTGCACTAACTCCTCCAGCCGCTCGCCCAGGTGCGCCTCCTCCCAGCCTGAAGCAGGAGCCCCCTCCCGCAGCAGCACCGCCAGCAGCACTGTCTTGAGCATGTATGAGGACAGAATGCGTCCCCACTGGGTGGCGGCCGTTGGGTCCAGCCCGCGGGCGCCCAGGTCTCGCAGAGCTTTAAGCAACTGCAGGCACTTGAGGTAGCAGGCACCTGGAGGGGCCCGTTCCTGCAGCCAGCTCAGCAGCTTCTGCTCCTGCCGAGCTGTGTTCACACCCCACAGTGCATCCGTGCGCAGGCCTCCAGGGAGCTCCGACAGAGGCCCGATGGGCGAGGGGGATGGTGGCGGTGCCACGAGGAAAACGCCGTCGCCCAAATGCACAGCGGGGATGAGACGCACTGCCATGGAAAGGCGGCAGCAGCCGTAGTCCGTGCGGCAGGGCAGGATGTGCAGGGTGGGAGGCTGCTCCAGGCCGCCCGGGGTCAGGCTGACCCGACAACGCCCCTCCAGACTGTAGCGCACGGTGGCCAGGGAGCGCTGCAGGTGCGCCTGGAACCAGCGCAGCACCAGCGCGGCAGAGAGGTGACGCCGCCCGAGCACGTCCACGCAGAACCCGTCGGCGAAGGGTTTGCAGTCCCGCAGCCAGTGGCTCCCGGAGGCCCCCGGCGGCGCCTTGAGGGCGCACACGAAGCAGCCGCGGAAAGCAGGGGCCAGCGCGGGCTCGGCGCCCAGGCTCCGCGGCTCCAGCGCCACCAGCGGCGGAAGACGCAGCGGCACCAGCACGTCGAAGCCGTCGGGCCGCCGGATTTTGTGTTGCTCGTAGGCGCTGCCCACCTGGATGAAGTCTCCACGGAAGGCCAACGCCAGCGCGCCGCCGGGGATGGGGCCGGGGGACCCCCGGGCGCGGCCAGCCCGCACCAGCTCGCCCACGATTCGGCTCACGTGCGCCTTGCTGTGGCCCAGCACGTGCGGGGACAGGCGCACCTCGTGCTCGTAGTAACTCTCCAGCAAGATGCCAAGACTGGGCTCTCGGAAGTGTCTAGGAGAGAAGGTCGAGTGGCTCCCCAGGCGAGGAGACCCTGGCAGGAAGCGCTGCCGAACAGCGTGGCGACAGCGCAGGAGGATGTAGCCAAGGAGGAGCAGGACGGCCACCTTGAGCAGCGGGAAGCCGCCGTCCGCACCGTCGGGGGGCTCGGCCCGGGCTCCCCCGCTTCCCCGCAGGACATGGTAGAGGCACACAAGGGCAGTGCAGAGGCCGGTCACCAGGGGCCAGAAGACGCGCAGATTGAGGGTGTAGTGCACCGACATACCGGGCGCCCGGGGCAGCGGCGGCCTTGCAGCCCAGGGCGCGAGCCCCGGCGGCGCCCCCGGCCCAGCATGCGGGCAGCGCCCCGGCAGCCCCGCGGTCCCGGTCTCCTTCGCCTCCGCGGTGGCTCCCCCCTCGCAGGGCCGGGGGAGGGCGCCCTCCAGCTCGGCCTCCTCTCCCAGCTCAAGTTTTCCTTCCAGCTGCGGCCGGCCCTGCACTCCCGGGCCCCTGGCCGCGCCCTGCGCCGGCCGCACGCTGCGTCCTGCCTGGCGCCCCTCCCCGCCCGGCGGCCCCGCGCGCTGCCCGCGGCCAGCTTCCGACCCGGCCCGGCTCGCCTCCTACCCTGGGCGGCACTCCCGGGCTCCCCCTCGGCGCTCGTTCCCGCTCTCCTCCGCGCTTGTTCCCGTTACTCGGCCCCAGGAGCTTCCTCTTCCGAGGGGACAGGAGCCCGCGCCAGCTAACGGGGAGGAAATGCCGAAGTCTGGAGCCGTGCGCGGAGCCGCCGGGTGGCGTGGCCCCCTCCCCGGCCTCCGCCTTAAAGCGACGTGGGGCGGCGGGAGGGACTTCAGGACGCGCCTGGAACTGGCTTCTCGCGGGTCACCCCCCGCCCCCCTCCCCGAAGGCAGAACCGGGAAGGGCCTGATCCCGGGGCGGTGGCCTCGCCCTGGGAGCCTCTGAAGTGGTGCTCGCATAAAGTTGCACGGGGAAGTTGAAAAGGAGGAGAAAAGAGCTCACACCCAGAGTGTCCCTCCCCGCCCCCAGCCAAGCGAGTCGTGGCGTTGGTGGCGTGGCAGGCTCTGGCACGGAAGTGGCCGCTGCCCCACCGTGCTGCCGTCCCTTATTCAAACCAGTATTTACTGAGCACCTACTACGCGCCAGGCAGTAGGCTAGGAGCTGGGGAAACAGCAGTGGGCAGGATGAGCCGAGGTTTGTGCCCCTCGTAAAGCTTACAGCCTTTCTAAAAAAGGAAACCAAAAGAGAAAGGATCCCGTAGCAGAAAATGATTCTCTGAAAGAAACAAAACGGCGTGAGGGAGTGAGAAGGTGGGGGCTGCTCCATGGAAGCTGGAGGCTCACTGCGGGCTGGGGCTGACGTTTGGTCTGAGATCTGAACGAGGAGGAGCCAACCTTGGGAATATCAATTTCAGCTTTTACAGAGGACTGACTGTGTGCCAGTATTGTGCTAATCACCTTACACATACTCCCTCCTCATGTCAATCCTATGAAATGTACACTTGTATTTTCCCCATTTCTCAGTTAAGGAAACTGGGGCATAGCTGGGTTCGGGGACTTGCCCAGGGTCACACAGCTTTAGCAGAGTTGTGCCTTGAATACAGGCATCTAGATCCAGAGAAGTCAGGGGGCAGGACTCAGGGAGGGGGAGCAGGGAGCCCCCTCCTCAACTGCTGGGAGTTCTTCTGTGTCCTTTGTCAGGACCTGCATTGAGACCTCAGTCCTCCAGAAGTTTTGTTTTGTTTCATAACAGGGAGCAGTCCCTGAAATAATCTGGATTTGTTTAGTTAAGCTGGATTTATTGAAATAATTATCTTTATTTATTTATGCTCATTGCACCTCCCCCCCCAACACCATTTAAGGAGAGCAAAGGTGAATGTATTAAAACTGTCATAACTGGGGCGCCTGGGTGGCTCAAGTCGTTAAGCATCTGCCTTCGGCTCAGGTCATGATCCCAGGGTCCTGGGATCAAGCCCCGCATCAGGCTCCCTGCTCCGCGGGAAGCCTGCTTCTCCCTCTCCCACTCCCCCTGCTTGTGCTCTCTCTCTCCCGCTGTGTCTCTCTCTGTCAAATAAATAAATAAAATCTTTAAAAATAAAAAATAAAAATAAAACTGACAGAACTCAGCTGCCCTCTAGGACTCAAGACACAGAGGATGACTCCTGAGTTAAGCATCTGGATGCCTCCCAGGAAATCCTGGATTGAGCCTCTTAGAGCTAAGGAGACCTGCTTTCAGATCCCACCTCTACTACTATTAGCTATGGGCCCATGCTCTACTAGTCCAGGTTCTTTGGGTCGCAAGTGACAGAAACACAGCTAAAAAATATTTTACTGTGTCATGTTAAGTGAGACCTCTTTTCTAAGCGGGGGCACTCTCTGCCAGGCCTTCCTTCTCCATATGCCCCTGGCTGCTCTAGCCTCACCTCCTCATATTAACCTTGGTGCCGAGGAAGAGAGTTGTGCTTGCCTGAAAATTGTAGCAGATGCCATGCCTAGAGATAGTCTTGAGAAATATGCTAAAAGTGACCAAGTTAGGGGTGCCTGGCTGACTCGACTGGTAGAGCACGCAACTCTTGATCTTGGAATTGGGATCTCGAGCCCCATGTTGGGGATAGAATTTACTTTGGAAAAAAAAATTTTTTTTAAATAAATACATGGACTCCGTGCTCAGCCAGGAGTCAGCTTCTCCCTCTCCCTCTGCCACTCCTCCTTGCTCCTGCACTCTCTCGCTCTCAAATAAATAAAATCTTACAAAAACACCCGGGGATGTCTGGGTGGCTCAGTCGTTTAAGCATCTGCCTTTGGCTCAGGTCATGATCCCAGGGTGCTGGGATCGAGTCCCACATTGGGCTCCCTGCTCAGCGGGGAGTCTGCTTCTCCCTCTGTGCCCCCCCCCACTTGTGCGTGCACTCTCTCTCTCTGATAAATAAGTAAAGGTGGCCAAGTTAGAGAATGATGCACTGATAAATCTGGCCTGGGCTGGTGCTATGGATTGAGTTGTGTCCCCACAAAATTAAAACCCTAACCCCTAATGTGACTGTGTTTGGAAACAGCTTTTCGGTGGTCATTAAGGTTAAATGAGGTTATAAGGATGGGCCCTAACGCCGCAGAACGGGTGTCATTATAAGAAGAGGAAGGGGCACCTGGGTGGCTCAGTCGATTGAGCCCGGACTCTTGGTTTCGGCTGAGGTCATGATCTCATGGGTCCTGGGATCCCACCCCAAGTGGGGCTCCTTGCTCAGCGGGGAGGCTGCTTGGAGAGTCTCTCCCTCTGCCCCTCCCCCCGTGCGCGCGCGCATGCGCGTGCGTGTTCTCTCTCTCTCTAAAATAAATAAATGTGTTTTTTTTTTTAAGATTTTATTTATCTGACAGAGAGAGACACAGAGAGAGGGAGAACACAAGCAGGGGGAGTGGGAGAGGGAGAAGCAGGCTTCCCGCCGAGCAGGGAGCCCGATGTGGGACTCGATCCTAGGACCCTGGGATCATGACCTGAGCCGAAAGCAGACGCTTAACAGCTGAACCACCCAGGCACCCCTAAAATAAATAAATCTTTAAAAAGTTGAAAAGACAGAGAGGTCTCTCTCCATACATACACACACGCCAAGGAAAGACCTCGTGAGGACGCAGCAAGAAGGTGGTCATCTGTGGGCCAGGGGGAGAGCTTACACCAGGACCCTCCGCACCTTGACCTTGGGCTCCCCAGCCTCCACAACTGTGGGAAAATAAATTTCTGTCGCTTAAGCCATCCGGTCTATGGTATATGGAACCCCAGCTGACTAACACGGTTGGAGGTGGGATGAGCCCTGCTTAAACCGTGGGGACTGTGGGAGGGGTATCCCTCATGGAAAGTCACAACACTACGCTGGAAGAAGGGGGATGTTTGGCATGCAAAACCAACAGGTGGCCACCATTTGGGGATAAATCTCTTAATCTCACTTTGCTTCAATCTCCCCCATAATCTATGAAAGCTGCGGGGGGAGCGGTTTTAAGAAAGTAACATGTTCTCCCTAGTGGAAATGGTGGTGTGCTGTCTTCAGCCATACAAAGAAGGGCAACTCTCGATCATAGGCCAGAAAACACTTTTTGTAAAAGGCCAGAGAATAAATATTTCAGGCCCTACAGTCTCTGCTCTGATGACTTGGGTCTGCTGTTATAGACCCAAAGCAACTGTATTCATTTCCTGGGGCTGCCGGGGAGCTTAAAACAACAGAAATTTTTCTCTCCCAGCTCTTGAAGGCAACGGGGTTATGCTCCCTCAGAAGCCTTTAGGGGAGGATCCTTTCTTGCCTTGTCCAGCTTCTGGTGGCCCCAGGCCTTCCTTGGCTTGTGGCCACATCACTCTGCTCTAATCTCTGCCTCTCTCTTCCTATAGGTCTTCTCCTTTCTGTCTGTATCTTTTTGTTTTCTGTCTCTTGTAAGGACACGTGACACTGGGTATAATCCTAGTGATCTCATCTGGAGATCCTTACGTCTGCAAAGATTCTCTTCCCAAATAAGTTCACATTCACAGGTTTCAAGGGTTAGGACGGGGACATATTTTTTGAGGGGGTTTTTAGAAGAGCCTCAGTTTTCCTTCCTATGTGTCTGCTTTACTACTCACACTGCATACCCCACTTCTGACATTTCTGGCCATCCAACTTTGGGGGGTGGGTTTCCCCACAACAAGCAATTCTCTGCCATACCAGCTGGGTGTCCTACAATTTAACTCAATTCTGACACTATCTCCCTGGAGATGGTATCAGATCCCACAGGTTAAGAGCTCAGTCCCATAAGACTGGCCCCCCCGCACTACAGACACCAAGTCACAAGAAGTAGGTCTCCCAGGGGACCCATTATTCTATCCAACTTGGCTATAGGTTGGAGGTTCCTATAACCCCCTCCTTGGGTTTGATTAATTTGCTAAAACAGCTTACAGTACTCAGGGGGGCATGTTTACCAGTTTATTAAAGGACATGATAAAGATACTTCTGTCCCTGTGGAGTTGGGGTGTCCCCCTTTTTACAGGGTGTCTTGTCACCCTCCCAGTACATGGGTGTGTTCACCAACTTGGAAGCTCCCCAAACCCTGTACTCTTGCAATTTTATGGAGGCTTCCTCCCATAGGCATGATCAATTATTAACTCAATTTTAGCCCTTTTCCCCTGCTCCGGAGAAGGGGAGGGGGCTGCTGAAAATGCCAAGCTTCTAATCATCACTTGGTCTTCCTGGTGACCAGACCCTATCCTGGAGCCATCCAGGAGCCCACCCAGAGTCACCTCATTAGAACAAAAGATTCTACTAGTGCTGTTATCACCTAGGAAATTACAAGGGTTTTAGGAACTCTGTGCCAGGAAGCAGGTGCAGAGACTACTATATATATATTTTCTATTATCTCACAGGGGGCCATGATTGACCCCACTACACTGAGCAAATGATGTATCACTGTTACTGTTTTTCCTGCCTATAATCAATTTCCATAGCTCATTTCCTCCCAAGAGCTCAAGGTACAAGCCTCAGAACTTTGCTCTTGGAAAATCTCCTGTATGTGTCAGAACAAACACAAAATCATTTATTACTAATTTATTACACACCTCTGTGGGTTCTATGCCAGGCAGAGAGGAATGCAAAGGAAAACAGGGTGCTCTATCCACACAGTATGGGGAGCTTCAGAAAACTGCCACCCTTTCAGTGACTTTCGATAATTATTTCCTTAAAAATTTCCTTTAGGGCGCCTGGGTGGCTCAGTTGGTTAAGTGACTGCCTTCGGCTCAGGTCATGATCCTGGAGTCCCGGGATCGAGTGCCGCATCGGGCTCCCTGCTCAGCAGGGAGTCTGCTTCTCCCTCTGACCCTCCCCCATCTCATGTACTCTCTCTCTCATTCTCGCTCTCTCAAATAAATAAATAAATCTTTAAAAAAAATTTCCTTTAATGTTTAATATTTGACAAGGGCCACTCCTGCTTTTTTTTTTTGTAATAGATCAGCAAATATATACACACAGTCCTTCCAGCATTTCTGATACGCCAGAGGTG